TGAATTTCCTCAACTGTCTGAGGTGATAAAGCGGCTGCTTCGCCTTCTTCCTCTGGTTGTCTATATGTTTGGACCATGACAGATCCTCAGAGATGTACTCGAGGCTGCACATCCTCTCCACAAGTGGTCCGTTAATCCTCAGCGGAGTGTGATTCCTCTGCCACAATCCAACACACAATGCAGAAGAGAAGAATAACCACTCGGAAGGCTGCTGTCAACTGTTTCCACAGATCACAGAGGACAAAACACAAACTGCAGCAGAGAGAGGATACAGAGTTAGTGACCCGCAGTGGTGGCATATAGATGTATGGAGAGAGAAAGATTAGAGGTGCTCAGTGCATCATGGGAAGTGCCGTAGCAGTCTGAGCCCATAGCAGCGAGACGAAGCAATGGTTCATGGTCACCTGAGCCAACAGGAACTATAAGCCTTATCAAAAGGGAAAGCTTTAAGTCTAAACCTAAAAGTAGAAGTAGTTTGAGGGCTGATACTGATTAATAATCAAAGAGATAGATCACCGATATTTGGAATTGATTACACTGTAAATTTTGGTGTCAAACTTCCGAAAGTCACAATCTCCAACAGAAAACTTTGTTGAAATGCCTTTGTTCCCTGAACTGCTGCAGGCACCACATTTCATCAGAGTGATGGCTACAGATGGAGGAGCTGCCTCAGAGCCAAAGTCGTGCTTTTTGACATTAATTTATTTTATTGGGAATCTGTTTAAAAAATAATAACCTTCACTACAAATGCTCGATTTTACAGGTTTTTAATTTGCTACAATAGGATTCTGAGAATATACTCACTAAACAGAGCAGAGTTTTTAATTGAAAGAACAGTTTCATTAAAAATAAAACTTGTTTAAAATCTAAGGGAAGTAAATTAATAAACCAGACGTCCCCCCTCCCCTTTTGACCCCGACTAAAATCCTGCCACAGCCCTGCTTTATCTTCCTCTGCTGTATTGTGTGCTGCTGCAGTATTTCACTGATGCTGCATCAAAACGATGATTAATTGACTCGTTAATTGGCAAAATAGCAGATATTATTTATCATTTAGGTCATTTTTTTTAAACGCAACATGCCAACTGTTATTTAAAGTTTATGAAGCATCTCAAATGTGAAGATTTGCTGCTTTTCTTTGTCACATGCGATTATGATCTGAAAACATTTGGGTTTTGGTAAATTAAACGAGCTATTTCAATGCATTTTAGGAAGCTGTCAGAAATTATACAAAGCATTGTTCACTATGGTCTGATCGTTATGGACGAAACTGTTGGAAAAAAGTAATCAGCAGATTAATGAATGAAAATAATCGTTGGTTGAAGTTCTACTGAAGATGCATGTATGTATTAGGAAACCCACCAATACCACCAACTTCTACAAAGCGAGGCAGATCTGCAGTCTTATGTTGTTACCCTGTCATCAGCATGTCACAACAACCACCACCAAGACTTGTCAGTTTGGTTGGCATTTTCCTGTTTTGAATTTAATTAGCTTTATGTTCTGACGAAGTGACAGCAGAGGCAGCAGTAGGCTTCAGTGTTCTGCCACCTCTTTGTTCTGAGATGTCTTTATGCATCTGACTGCCGCACGAACCCAAAGTTTTAGTGACCTATAGGCTACAGCAGAGACGGAGGTGAATTTCAGAGCAGCGTGCCTATCATCAACAATCACATCACATCCAGAAATCTCTTAAATTAGACACAACGCAGATCCTACCCTTTTCTAAAGTTGTTCGGAAAAGACCGGGGACCTTTGGGTTATAGGAGGAGTGAGCGCTGCATAGAAAGCGAGGTGGAACTCGACTCCTCATTGTGTCATCTCAATGAACTTTTCAGACCTGCCACAAGGTTGAAACCTGCCTCCGTGTGTGTGTGTGTGTGTGCATTTGAAACTGTGAATCCTCACTGTGGGGAATGAGAGGCAGGGGTGGTTCGTTTTCAGCTGCATGCACCGGTTGATGGATGAGCCTCCGAGCTTGGTTTGCCTTGTGAAACCTCCCCAGTCGCAGCCCAGAATGCACTGGTCAGGAACAAGTGCTACTTTCCTTCTATTCTGGGCATCTGTCAGCAACACTCCCGGACACGACCGTAAATGCGCGGAGTACATTTGTCATACCGCTGCAGAATGCTGACACTTTAGTATAAAGCATCAATCTGTTATCTGGCCGTATTGATAAGTAGCAGTTTGGTGTTGTTGCTCCTGTCTTACTGCATTTAGGAACCTGGAAAGAAGCTCAGAGCTCCCTGTCGGCTTTTCTAGCAAATATTCCGGCTTTTTGAAGGTAATTTTTTGCTAAAGCGCTGCTCCACATCGACCAACTGTCATGGTAACAACTAATTACTGGAATCATTAACCGCCCTAAGGGGACGAAAAGCTTCTAAAGAGCAAACAGACACGTACAAGACAAAATAAACCTCTTATAGAATCAGCCCACGTTATGACAGGCGCAACAGTCTGCAAAGGCACACTCCAAACTTAGAGGGACATTAGCAACCGGGGAAGCTTCACACAGATTTGATTTGTGTCGTGGAAACAATCCATATCTGTCTGAGTGCTTTGCTGCATTCCAGTGGGAGACATTGTTATTTTGTTTTTCCAACCTTTAAGGGGCTGACACTGGTGTTTATGAAGTCTGATATTGGTACAGGCTCCTCACATTAAGCTCAGGAGGCAATGAAGCGCTGTGTGCGACTGGAACAATTACTACTGCCGCTGCCAGATGGAAAACACGATGTCGGGGCTCAAAGGTTAATGGCTCCATCTGTTGGAGGACGGCAGAAGTGCTGCTGCAGTGTGTGTGTGTGTGCAATCCTCAGGTGTAAAAGACATATACTTTTGTACTTTAGTGCACGGGAAGTACAAGATGAAGAAGATGTATTGATAACTCTTGGACATGAGATTTGAACTTGAGCAAAAAAAGCAAGATTTTAGTCACTTAAATGTTGCTGTGATTGTCTTTACAGTCTGTTTACAGTTTCTATTTCAAATTAAACAATAAATCTTTTTATTTCCAGTTCTGCCATATTGTGAATGTCGTTTTTTTTCTCTTCTCAGTTCCTTGGAAACACAGAGGTTGAAGCCCCGAAAGGCACCGAAGTCGTAAAGGATGCAGTCAGGAAGCTAAAGGTAAAGTCGGTCTTGAAAATAAGCTGTCGCCTAAAGGAGAGCAGCGTGTTCTCGAGTGGCCAGATTGGATGGTCGGCTCAGTGCAGGGGAGCTGCGAGTGAGTGACAAATGCTCCCCTCCCTCGTCTGTTACCAGCAAGGTGTCCTTGGGAGTTTTTCAGCTCCCAAATGTGGATGCCCACAACTGCTGGATAAGCATAGCACTTTGCTCAGTCAACCTTCCCCTGGTAGATGTAAAATTCAATCAAAAGGTATATTCATCTGTCATGGAACCTTTTGTTTCTTAAGCTAAAGTCCCTAAACCATAACATTTATTTTTTTGAAAATACCAGCATGCTGTCCATCACTGAAGGACAGGTAGTTTATACAGCGCACTGCCAGAGCTCAGTGATCCAAGAAGGAAAAAAAACAACTGTCATGTAAGCACATGAGGGTGACTTCGTTTATTTTTAAGTTTTAAATGATTATATGTGTTGTAAAAGATACTCATGGCGACTAATCCTCAGAGGAGTGTCACTGTATGAGCTCATTGTTTGTTTCGTTTTCACCCACGAATCTCCTTCAACTTTGTCCCCTGTTCTGAGTTTCTCATTAACCCGCTGTGCACCACCTGTCCAGCAACGAAGGCCACACACAGTTACCTAGTTAATGTAGTGGATCATTTAGCTGCTCAGCAGTCAGATATTCCCCTCAGGAGTTTTTGAGACCAACACAGGGTGATTATTGGAGATTTATTAGGTGGCCAGAAATAGGTGTCAAATAAATGCTAAAGTTTAAGCTAATGTTTGTAGCTTAGAAACATAATTGGACAAAAATAAGTTGAATGCTGCTTTAACTTTGCTTTAAACCTGCATTCATTGATTGTTCGTTATTTAGTGGCTCATTCACCGATTACATTAGCAATCTGATAACATATTTGACCTGTGCTACAAATCCTTTTCTGCAGCTAAATGTTCCTCTACATCTTACTGCCACTCTGTGCTGAACAGGTAGCGAATCAAGCGTTATGTCGGAGCTCGTTTGAGTGTGTTGAAATGAAGCCATGAAACCAAAGCAGCAAGCAACTCTTTCTCATTACACAAGCCAATTACTTCCACTCTTAATATAAGCAATGTTAACGTTTCAGCCCAACAAAACCGCCTTACGGTGGACATCCCATAGGTCGGTTTTGCTCTGCTACCAGCTCTTAAGTGTTTGAGTTTCGCACCACGGACTTCATGTTCCACTTTATTGCCAACAGTCAACACTGGTTTGTTTAATTAGGGCACCGCTTTCCTTACCTAAGTAGTCTTAGTTGCTAAACACAAGGGAAATGCTCAAGAAAATGCTTCGTGGGTTGTTTTGAAAAGCTCCGACAACTCGATTTGTTATTCAGGGTTTAGAGTTGGTTTAGGACACAGTGTCAGTAAACCGGCCCAGTGAATGACATTTAACCTGGATTACTTTCAGGTCACATACTCCTCACCGTTTGTGACATTTAACCAAACCTTGAAGCATGGGAACAGCCACAACCCAGGCAACTCTCCTTTCTCACAGCTCCTCGGTAATGTGGCTGTGCTCGCTGCCTGCTGGCCTCCTCCTCTGTCTTCTCCTGCCAAGAGCTGAATCTGTGAGGCCACTTGTAGGGGAGGCTTGTTTTCCCAAACCCACACCTCTAGTGTTACATTACATTTGATCTTGAAAGCCTGTTTTTGACCAAAGCTCCATGGTTACTCTCCTAGATACACTGGCAGAAAGGACATGCTTAGCTATGCTTCCAAAGATCATGCGCAGGAAAGAAATATGCCCATTGGTTTAAGGTTAAATAACAATCAGTTTGATATAAATGTCCTGGTGTTCTTATGCGATCAAGAGCTCCTTGTAGCACACATTGTTCTACCAATGGGTGGAGTTGGGCATTTAGCAACTAAAGAGCAAGATGTTTTTCTTAGTTGGAAACCAAAACAGAGCAACAGTTGAGTAAACATCGTATGTACGGATGCATCTTGGCCAGAAACAACAAATGAATTCTGTCAACTGAGTGAGGAAACTGATCATCAACACTTAGCAAGTTTTTACTTTAGTTGTCCTGATGTGTCATTTGCATGTGTTATTTGCGCTCCCTAAGGTGGACTAATCAGACTTCCGTCTTCAATTTCTCCATTTGGCAGTTTCAGAGACATATCAAGAAGTCAGAGGGACAGAAGATCCCCAAAGTGGAACTGCAGATCTCCATTTACGGTGTGAAGATACTAGACCCCAAGACAAAAGTGAGTCCACAGGTTAGACTTTTAGTTTCTGCGCAGTGGCGTTAATCCTTTTGAAGATGTACTGACAGCAAACACCGTGTAGAGACAGAAGCGATACGTTGTTCACAGAGACACTAAATAATAAATGCATTGCGTTTGTTTTGCAGGATGTGCAGCACAACTGTCAGCTACACAGGATATCCTTCTGTGCAGATGACAAGACTGATAAAAGGATATTTACTTTTATCTGCAAAGACTCGGAGTCCAACAAACACCTCTGCTACGTGTTTGACAGTGAAAAATGTGTAAGCTTTGATAGTTTGCTTGTTTTTCCTTTAAACAAAAAAAAATGTATTCGATAGTTGAAATATTATGTAGATGAGCACTTTGAAGTCTCGTACGTAACCTTGAATAATCAGCTCAAGTGTGAACAGTCACTGTTGATATCTAGATGCGTAACAAAGTCTATTTCTCTCATGCTTCAGGCGGAAGAGATAACTCTTACTATCGGTCAGGCCTTTGACTTGGCCTACAAGAAGTTTTTGGAGTCTGGAGGCAAAGATGTGGAAACCAGGAAACAGATTGGAAGCCTACAGAAAAGAGTACGTCTCACTTTCAGCCGAATCAGCTTGTTTGCTCTCACTTCTTTGACACATTGACGTTTCTATTCGTTCACGCACAGATTGTTTCAAATCATTCAAATGGGTACAATTAAGCTGCGTTGATAAGACGCGTCAGTAATGAATATTAATGACCGAAAAGTCCTTTGTTACACAGCCATACTATAATTGAATTGTGCAGCCTTTTTTTAAAACACAGAGCCGCCATCCCATCAGTTTTGCTTGATTGATTAAGACATGCTTAATAGTTAAGTAAGTGACAGGATGTGTTTGCCAAATATCACCCCGACATGTTTTTCAATCGTACTTTGGAGTCATTCTGAAAAGATTTTTGGATATTTGAAAAAACCTAAAGTCTCTTTGCAGTCATTGATTAAACCCAATGCGTAGAAGGTCCATCCATCCATTATGGAGGGGCTGGAGTCTATCCCAGCTGACTCAGGGTGAAGGCAGGAGACACCCTGGACAGGTCACCAGTCTATCGCAGGGCTACATTTAGAGACAGACAACCAAGCACACTCACATTCACACCTACGGACAATTTAGAATCACCAATTAACCTCAACATGTTTTTGGACTGTGTGGGAGGAAGCCGGAGAACCCAGAGAGAACCCACGCTGCACGGGGAGAACATGCAAACTCCACACAGAAAGATCCCAGTGCCCCCAGCAACCAGCAACCTTCTTGCTGCGAGGCAACAGTGCTACCAACTGCGCCACCTTGCAGCCCCCTGCGTAGAAGGTTTTCCTTTAAAATTGTCCTTTCCTGCCTTAGATGAAACTATCGGATGAGAACTCTCTCGTCATTCACCCCTCCACCACTCGCTGTAGCTGGAGCGACACAGCTCACCTATGACCGCTCAAACATTGTCAAACCTCTCAACTGGAAACCTATTCTAAAAAAGAAGAGTGATACACGGAGTTCTTTTGGTTTGTTCTGTATGAAATCCTGGAACTCTGTGTTTCTGAGACTGCCATCGGTCCAAATGCTCACAGTGCAGTCCAGCGTATATAAAACACCACATTGATATGTTAACAAGGTACACAACTTGAATTTCACTGGAGGGGGTCTTTACAAAACGAATTAAACGGTATGCTAAACCTGGCATTTAGTGAGAGTCTATACAAACAGATTCAGCCAAAGGTAATGCTTCAGATTGTGAACAGCATTTCAACAGAACAACCCCATCATGTAGCTCATTTTCTAGTTTTTTCGAGAGCTGTCATCCACATTACAAGGTCATCATCACTGGAGTTCTGTGAACACGCAACATGAGTGAATGTCTGCTCATGAAAACTGTGCTGCTGTGTGGAGCCCGTTCTCGGTCCTGCACATTATTTTGACTCAGTGCCACACTGTCCCTCTGTTTTGATGCATGGCTGAAAATAGTCCTTGAGGAAATGCACTATTTCCTCCTGTTTGATTAATGCTCATTGAAAACAAACCAGCTGTTTCAGGAAATTACTTTTTTTTTTTTCTGCTCTTTTTTTTTTGTTTTTTTTTTTTTAAACACTGAGATACAGGGTTGAAAAAGCTCGAAGGTATGTCAGGGATTTTGTTGACATCACAAGAACCACTTTCATAAAAGAGAGAGAAGTTATTTTACAGTTCATTCTATATCGTCATAACAATATAATAATTATAGTAACATAAAAGTACTGCGGTACATTTTGCGAGGATGGTGTTCTTCACTTGCCTGCTTCATAATCAAATCACGTTTATTGACATCTAAAGCAAATTTTAATACAACCTGAGTTGACTGCACATGTTTTATGACGGGCAACAATAAAAAACATGTGCAACAAAGCGAGATGAAGAACAGGATAACTACTTGTAAAAATCAATAAATATAAAAGGTTGTTAAAAGCATTTCTGTCTATAAAGAAGGAACATTTCATTGAAAGAGAAAGGCTGTACCAAAGCTCTGGTAGGATCCCTCCTGACCCACAGGCCTCAGTCAGCCAACAGCTGAATTCTACGTTCTTGTGTTTTTGCAGATTCAAGAACTGGAAACAGAAAACTCGGAGCTAAAGAAACAGCTTCAAGAGCTTGAAGAGCAGCTGATGATAGCTCACGTGCCACCAGTAAGGACAAACTGCACCGACACATACACCTCCGTTAGACGATTGATTGGTTGTTTCGTGTGTAGATCAAATGATGGTATTGTGCTAAAATGTTGAAGAATCTTCAAATCAGTAACTGGCTTAAGTTATTACGTCTCCCTAAAGTGAGCCGACACCAGTAGAAGCTACAGACTTAGTATAACTGTAGCATCAGAGCGCACTGAACTGAGCAAAGGTGTGTTTTATGCTTATGAACTTTTATTTCAAAGACTAAGACTGTGCGGTGATGCAGTCATGCTTTAACTGCAGAGCCTGCAGACAAACTCAAACTGCTTACTGATGTAATATACTGTCTAATAATTTGATTCAAATGTTCTGCATCAGCCAAAAGTGCACAACTTCCACCACCTTCTAATGATAAAAGTTGACCAAATTTAAGCTTAGAGTATTTTTTAAGGACAGCTGGGATTGCTGATACTGCTTCTGTGATTAAACGCGCGGCCTCGGCCTCAGGTTTGGGACGACCGGGCGTATCTGGAGGCAGGCAGTGGGAGTCGAAGCTGCGTGCGAAGCAAAGCAATTACACACCTGATTGGTCTGATGAGGAATGTGATACACTCGCCATCTAATTGGGGCAAATGCCAGCACTTGTGACAGCCTCCTGCGAATGCAATTACCTCACACCTCTCCTACTCCGAATAATATTGTCCCTCTCTGGTCATCTTCTGTCTTGCGCTCTTTTCTCAGCCGCTGCACATAAACTCGTCTAATGAAGCGTACATGCTGCAGAGGCCCTCCTCTCTCTTCTGGTGTCACAGCATCAAGTCGCTGTCCTGTCTGGAAATCTCCTCTGTCACGCTCACTCCTATGAGCTCGCCGGAGTCCAACTTGTCCAGCGGGCTACTAACTCCTCCGCCTGCCAAACCCGCTCTCCTTCCTGCTAAACCTACCGAGGGATGCAGCATCCCGCGGCCTCGCGTAAACACCTTTTCTGTGCTTTGCTTTGCCTTATTACCTCCTGCCTTTGTCTTTATTGTGCTTTTTTCTGCTTCTTCTTCTTCTTCTTGCTTTGGTGCAAAACCGGCTGTGTCCTTTGTGTGAACATACGATTGTCTGGCTGAGGGTTAAACATGTTCACCGCTTTGCACACAGGCGGGGAGCATCTCCATGAAGCCACAGTCGACGGACATTTTTGACATGGTTCCCTTCTCCCCTGTGACACCGCTGGCGCCCACGCTGGCCAGCAACGGCTGCCCACCGCCTCCCCCGACCACATTGCCACCAGATATAAGTGAGTGAATGTCTACAACGCTTTCTCATTGTAATATTCACAGGTGCTGTTTAATTCTGAGGCTTAACAAAAGAGTTTAGAGGGATTGCAGCTGCTAAAAACACACTTGTTTAAATATTTGCAGCATAATACAAAGAAGACTAGTGTGCTATAGTACTGAAGAACTTTTTTCCCCCTCTTCTCAGACACTGTGATGTTTATCTGCTGTCTGTGTTTGCAGGGAAAGACTTGTTTGGTGCTGAGCCATTTGATCCGTTCACCTGCGGGGCAGCTGACTTCCCTCCAGATATTCAGTCAAAGCTGGATGAGATGCAGGTGAGCCCCTGTCTGTGTCTGATGCCTTCACAGCGTTGCAGGTGAAACTGTGAAGCTCAGGTCTCCTGTCGCTGTTGTTGTCACTTCTTTGAAGATTAAAGATTCTCTCTTGTTTGCATGAACAAAGGCTGCCTCGTCTGAGCCTAACGACAAACTCCCTCCAGAACACGGTTTATTTAAATTAAAAATGTTTCAATAGGTCGGGCTTGTCATAGAGCAGTACAGCAAGCTCATATGAGGGATTATTTCGTTTTTTTCAGCGTGTTTGTTAGAGTACAAAGAGTTTAATAAAACCCTCAGCCGGCTCAGTGATGGATACGATTCATTTCTTTATTTAGATTTATCAGGGACGTGGCACCACTAATGAGTTCATTAAAAAAGAAAAGCGCATTCACAGAGAGGCTTTTGTGCGTCACCCAGCTCTGTTTTCATGCTCCTTGAAGCACTTCAGTAAAGTGAAAATGTCTTAATGTGACAATAGAGCGTTTTCATGTAACTGTATTCGTGGTCTGGTGGAGCAATAAATGAACAGCTCAGTTCTGCGTTGTACTCCGAAATAATCGTTTTAAAAAAAGGTTATTGGGGCTTATCAGAAATGACAGAAGCTCCCAGTGTCTGGGAGTAAAGACTGAGGCTCAGTGGCTCAGCGGTTCTCCAACTGTGGGGCAGGCCTCGAAGTAGGCCAGCAAAAAGAAAGGCAGCTTGTATTAGACAGTTTAATTCATGAGGTCAGACAAAGAGTTTAGTGACGCTTTTACACAAGCAGGCCTCTCACGGTCTGTGTCACCAACAAGATAGGAGGTCAGATCTTAACAGCTGCAATACGCCAGTAAGAGTTGAGATGAAGTTCGTTTAACAAATTTGCAGTCTTCTGTCCATCCTGGGATTAATTTGCGTTGCAGAATCTTCTTGTGAGAAGAACAGAATTCCTTATTAAAGAGCGGCAGATACAGAAATGTACCGACACTGAACATTTGAGTCTGTTGAGAATTTGAACTCATCTTCTTAAACTCAGTAAATAAAGTCAACAAGCAGCACTGCATTTATTCAACTCATCTAGTCAGAGACGTTGTGTCCGCAAAAGAATAACACTTTTAAAAGTTCACAAAACCTAAACATTTAATCAGAATCAGAAACAGATTTATTGCCAGTTATAGTTCACACAGTACCAGGAGTTTGTTCTGGTGGGTTGGTGCATTAAAATAACAATAAATAAACAATAAATAAAAAATAAAATAAAGTGACTGAAAGTAAACATAACTGTAATAGTGCAAATTTAAATAACAACCATAGAACAGTAGTGTTATTTACAACATATTGAGGGTTCTGGTGTGTTGTTATTTACATTTATACAGATATAGAGGGGGCAGGGGGGTCCGTGGGGGTCCTGGGCCTTGTTCTTGTGGCATGAGGTTCTGGTCCTGATGGACCAAAGCCTCCTGCCGGAGGGGAGTGATTGGCAGAGTCTGTGTCCAGGGTGGGAGGAGTCGGCCACAGTCTTACCTAATGTATTTAAAACATCAATTCTTTCGTATCCAAATGTCCCAGTATTGGTAATGGATGACAATAGTAAGGTGTCTCTACAGGCGTGTTAGGAAATCGGCTACTTTTCTGCTTTCAGTGAGAAACATATGAACATGTTGAGAACCTGCAGCTTGAGTTGACGTTCAGCAGCACAGTGTGCCGCATGTCTCTTCTCTGAGCTATAAACTGTCATCAAACACCAGGATTTTGCATTACAGCATGATTATAAAACTCCTGAAAGTGAAATTCAGCTGCAACGTTTCAGATTCTGTTTTGCACATGAACCGTTGAGCTGTAGCGAGCTGCTGCCAGCAGGAGGCGACATTGCTCTGATGAACTTCTTTCCAGCTTCTTCCTTCCTTTAATTACTAACAGCTGACTGTCTCTCTTTTCCTTCTCGCCACTCGTAGCGTCAGAGATGGTTGGTACTCTTTGCTCTCTGTCTGTGCCGTCGCTGTGGTCGTGTTTTGTTTTGTTTGTCGTCCTGCATGCTGTGAATGCTGCTGCACAAAATCCACTGAGAAAGTTCGAACTTGGATGTTTGTTTATCATCTCAGCTTTCATATGAACAATAGGAGACTTTGTGACTTTTTAACTTCTCACTCTCTAAAATGTTTATTTTGCACATTAATCGTGCTGCTCAGTTTTATTTATTGGCAGTAATTAGTTTAATTACAGTCGTCTTCAAATGTATTCATCCCCTTCCATTAAAGAAAAGGCAAAATTCACAATAGTCCCTCAAATAACTAGAAACTAAAAAAAGTAATAATAAATAAAAATTTGCTAAATTATAATTTAGTGAAATAAGACATTGCTTTTGAATTGTGGTTGAAAAGAATATTTAAAAAAAAACAAACAAACACAACTGTCCAGGACAAATGAGAGCACAGTCTGATTGAGAGTTACAGAAAACACTTGATTGGCTCAAAGGGTTTGTAGAAGCCGATAATGTAGTAACAGCCGATAACAAATTTGCACTTTTTAAAATGTAAAAGACCAATAATGTAATAAGTTATGTTATTGTCCTGGTAAAAAAAAAAATATTAGAAATGTAATAATCAGCCAATAATAAGTTATTGCGTTATTGGTTCAGGACTTTTACTACGTTATTGGCTTCTACGGGGTTGTTCAACAGCAATGTCATGATTTTCATAAAACTTTTATTAATTACTACTTTGGTCAGTTTCAGCTTATTCCACTGACAGCTGGTTTTTCCTTCTTTAATGGGAGGCTATGAATACATTTGGGGACGACTGTATGTTTTTGCCGTTGGAGCCGATATCTGAACATGATCACATTAAAACAATCTGGCCACGTTTTCAACATGTCAATGACTTCTTTCCACCCGTGCTTCTCCCATCGACATGCATGCCTCGTTGCTTTCTGATCTCGTGCTCAACGCATGACAGAACGGCGGCGTTCTTTAGCTTCTCATTCCATCTTAACCTCGGGGGGGGGGTGATAGGGATTTCCAGCAGGCTCTGATCTAAGCATCACTCAGACTCTGTTTGTCAGTGAACGCGGGACACGCGATCTGACTCAGACCACGTCAGCGGTCACTCAACATCACGGGCTGTCATCTGGCTTATCTTCCAGGAGGGGTTCAAAATGGGACTAACCTTAGAGGGCACCGTCTTCTCTCTGGACCCGCTAGACAGCCGCTGCTGATGCCGAGAAGATTGCTCCTTCAAGGCGTCCTTTTAACTCGTTTGTATGAAGAAGTGCCAAAATCCACTCCACGGTCGAGTCAAGATGTCACAGTTTTCATCTTGAGGTTTATATGCATTTGCATTTAGATTGGTTTTTTCGATATTTCAAGGTAAACTCAGATCCATTATAGAGAGGAACTATTTTTGTAAAAAAGAAATACGAAGAAAAAAACATTTATGGAAAGGCGTAGCTTCGACTACCTTTGCTTGCACAGGTAATGAGGGATGTAAATAGTCGAACATGTCCAATGGTACACTCTGTGGCAGAATTTTCATCTGTGTGTATGCACTGTTTGGATTCTGTATTGTAGACACATTCCTGTTTGTATGCCAAACACACAAACTGGCAAAAAAAAAAAAAGAAATCTGCGTCGTTAACACAAACTGTCAGCTTGCCCGTAACACCACATATCTTATTTTACTCCACTTTAATTCACACATTATGTAATTAATTAATCCAGCCTGATGTTTTTTGACTTACTGACTTTTCTGCCTTTTTTTTTTAAGTTTTATTTTATTTTGCTCAGATTTTTGCATTTCACAATTTTGAGTTGCCATTTCAGTATTTCTTTTATACATTGTCATCATTTTACTGTTCTCCTATTCTTCTTCTTTTGTTTTCCAGTCCGTGCCGTACTATTCTCATTATTTTACTTTTGGTTGCATTGACTTTGTTGTTCCAGTTATTAAAGAAAATCTTACTGCAAAAACTGCTCGATTCCATCATTTAACATTGTTCTTGTGTGACTTTATCTGTTGTTTTGTGTTTGAAATGTCCTCAAGTTAAAGTTTTTCTTTATGTGAGATATAACAATATGGATTTCCTGACTTTGTCTGCAGTGATGTTTTTGTTGTTGTTGTTTTGTTTTTATTTTACATGGATTGCGATCAAATTTGGAGCTGGCCTCGGTTTATAGAGACGTTAAGTGCATTGGGCAGCAGTTCAAGAAATGGGACGGACAATGTTGCCCTGGATGAGCTGCACTGTATTCTGCGATATAAGTGCTATTTATAGCCTGTATTCTTTACGTTTTGGTAAATTAAATAAGTCAAATTAGCCATTAAGAGTTCCTTTTCAGTGAGACGACCAGTGAGTCCTTCCCTGTCGGGCCACTTGCTGCATGTCGCCCCTCTGATCCTTGCCCTACATTTCATGTCACTCAGCACTGTCACAATAAATCCATAAAAAGCCCCCCTAAAAAATATAATAAAACATCCTTTTTGTTCTGCATTTTAACGACGAAATCCTTCAAACTTAACGATTCTCAAGCAGAATCATTTCCATCTTCTTTTTTGTACATTATCCAATAATCATGAGACACTATTTTCAGTAGTTTGTTGTTGTTGTTATTGTTTGTTTTTACAATTACTAGATCCTTTTTCTTCGAATGTCTTAAATACAAGATAGTTTTTGTGTCTGATGCATTTCTGTTTGTCTAGGAGCCACACTCTGTTTCTTTCCGCTGCAGTAACTCTGAGCAGGTGTGAACATTTACAGGAATCTTTCCTTTCAGCCTCTCGGTTTCTGTTGCAGTGTCAGATTCAACAACTTCAAGCTCCAAAACAGCTAAGTAGTGACTGGACGCAGCTCCAGCTCTCTGAGCATGTCGGAGATGGATCAGTGGAGGGTTGTCATGTTGGCTGAGACGGTGATTTTTCTGTTGTTGATGGAGAAGAATGCAGAACAATGGTACTTGATTTTACCAGTTGCCGATTTCTCCCCTGAAAGAGAATCTAGATTGTTGCAGTCTGAACATCCATAGAAAGGATGGGACCATCCTCAAACAGCCTGTAAGTTCCTGCAGTGGAGAAGGGCTTGCCCCACCGACTCTAGCTGTAGTTTGTTGCTAGTCGGCACATGTTGGCATCATGTGGACCTTCAAAGCAAGTTGTTTTTGTCTTGTACGTTGGCATTCATCTCAAAGTATGATCCTTGCAGTGCATGTCTGGTTGTAGACTCTCTGCTGCTGCTGCTGGTGTGTAATTTAGATCAAGTGTCAGAAACACTCCTGATTACTCGTGACTTTTATCTGTTTTTGAAACCAAACATTTCCACGTCCTCTCCAGGCTGACATGATCGTGCCGTGGTGCAAATCGTTTAAGCGATCAAACGAACTCTTCTCAAACAAGAACAGGCGGAGAGAGAAGTGTTTTTAATATTTATTTTTCAAAGGATGAAATGCATCTGCTTCCAGTGTGGAAAGCCCTCTCTTCATCACTTCCTTCTTCCTCCTCCTCCTCCTCCTCCTCTTCTCTGCCTTGCATCATTTTACAAATCTAGAATAAATATACTCAAATTTTGAACCAATAGAATCGACACACAACTGCTTACATTAAGGAGTAAACTGCGTAACAAGTACATCGACGGCTAAAAAATGAGCTTGTGTGCAAAATGACAAAGTTAAAGGACCTGACTGCACCTGAATTAATATGACAAGAGCTTGGGGGGATTAACAAGCATTTTGTTTAATTTGTTGCATAGCAAGAGATACAAAGCAAACAGGCATTCACAGCCATCTTGTTCTATAAAACTGATTAAAAAAAAAAAAAAAAAAAAAAGAATTTCAAGAGCATATAAGTCCAGGATACTGCAAAAGGGGGAACTGACATGCATAAAAAATACTCTGCGCTACCTTTTACTGTACCATATTGAAGTTGAAGGAAAAAAAAAAAAAAGTTACAAATCACCACAGACCACTCGAACGACACCTCATTCATCTCTCCATCGTCGACAGAAAGACCTTTATTGATCATCCCCAAACCCTGCCCTGTACCGCGCAGCCGTGACAAGTGCACAAGGATCACACTACTTACAAAAACAGCACCTGTGAAAAAGAAGATTTACAATGTAGTGTCATCGCTTTTCTCAGCTTTTTTTTTTTTTTTTGTTGTGTGTGTGTCGGTGACGAGGTAGCTAACACTGAGTAATCGACAGTCTCGACGTTGTCTCCGATGTTTCTACGTGGTCGGTACAGAGTTTAGAAATGACCAGATACAGACATCAACACTGCCTTTGAGAAAGAAAAAGAAAAAAAAAAATACCTGCACCATCAGCGGCTGTTTCCTCAATAGCACCACAAGGATGTTTTATATTCAAACATTTAAGATAAAAAAAAAAAAAAAGACAAATCTGTAGAAATGACTAGTGGCGGGACATTCAATCAGTGGAATCGTTCTGGGCTTATGAACAGCAGTTAATGTTTTAAAGCTTTTCTTTTTTTTTTATATTCTTTGGTAACATTTGGTGAGATAACAGTGAAATCTTTGGTCAAACATACACAAGACGACAAAAAGGAATGATTCTGATTCTTTACCAATTTTTTCGTTAAAATTCCAAAACATTCATACTAACTTACAAATCTTCGGTGTCTTGAACTGGGTTGAAAAGGCACAATAAATATCTTGCCACAGGGCCAGAATAGTCCTCAGCACTCGTATGTACAACGTGGCTGATCGCGTCAGCTGTCAGTCCAACAGTCTCAGGATTCTGCCCTGCTGACGACTTTACAAGAAGCACACGGGCCCGATATCAACGCCGAACTCTTGATCTGAGCCGCCAATGTCCACCAGGGCAAGATCCACAATGGGAAGTCTTGCTGTTTTCTGTGTCCTGTACTCAAACACTGTCTTGCCCCAGTTGCCGGTCGCTTGCTGCGAAAGAGAGACAAAGTGGAGGGTCAGTGACATATACGTTCAGCAAGTAGTTGGTGTCCAGATGAGAGAAAGATTCATCTCAGAAATTTTATATTTATGGACTTTTTTTTCTCCCTCCAAATTCAACACTTAGTTCTGTCTGTAATCAAACCTGCACCAAGTCAATCATGTCACCCTCTATCAGGGACAGTGATGTCTGAAATTACAGGAAGACTGCCGGCTATGTACCTGCACTGAGTGTATCAATAACATTTGTTTGTGTAGGATTAAACCTTCAGTGTGTAGGACGAACTGAATGCTCTGACTTGTAGCGCATGAATGGAATCCAATGGAGGTTGAATTCAGACCCCAAAAAAATCAGAAACACATTTTGAATTGAACAAAATCTAGAAGTTAGAAATGTAGCGGGTTTTAGATTCTAAAATGCAGTGACACAGATCTGCCGTCCTGCTGCCATAAAACAGCTCAGAATAAGAAAATTCCTGTTTAAAGGTGCAGATTTTAAGACATGTTAGCAGGTTACGGTCATCCTCAAATATATTCATACCCTTCCATTAAAGAAGGAAAAAGCAGTTGTCACTGAAATAAGTTAAAACTGACAAAAGTAATAATAAATAAAAATTTAATGAAAATCATGACATTGCTTTTGACTCGTGGTTCAACAGAAATATATATATATATTTTTTTAAAAAGATAAACGAGCATGATGGGACCCGTAAACGAATATTCTGTTGAACAACCCTTTGAGCCAATCCCTGCAATCAAGTGTTTTCTGTAACTCTCAATCACACTTCTGCTCCTGTTGACAGGTATTTTGATTTTGGTCACTGCTCATCAGCAAAGTGCTCTCATTTGTCTAATTTTTTTTTTTTTTTATTATTCTTTTTAACCACAATTCCAAAGCAATGTCTTATTTCACTAAATGATAATTTAGCAAATTTTTATTTATTATTACATTTTTCAGTTTCTAGTTATTCCAGTGACTGTTGTGAATTTTGCCTTTTCTTTAATTGGAAGGGTATGAATACGTTTGAGGACGACTGTAATTTCTGTTTGCCAAACATGGAACCACATTAACATTTATCTGGAGTCCTGCTTGTGTCCGCCTCATGAACTAATCCCCCTTGTAGCTCCACCAACCCTGCAAGGACACATCAGCCTGTTTACCTGCTAAATGCTGCACCAGCTTCACCACTAGTGTCAAACTGTATCTGTCCTGAACTGGTAAAGTAAGTTTGTAGGAGTTTTTTTCTTCTTTTTTTTTGTGAAATCAGCAGTTTCTTGTGGATTGATGCACGCAAAAAAGACCAAATCCTGAAGTTGTGGGTCATAAAACCAAAATCATGAGATGAAGGAATGCATCTCTGAATACAGATAAGTATTCATCAGAGCATAATGAGGATGTAATGTGTGACCGGAGCGTCTCAGAGTATATCTACATCTACTGCTAGCCCATTGTTGGTTTTGGCCGTTTGTTTGGATTTAATCAAAATGAGACGAATGCAGAATAATGGCTGAAGCGCTGTGACTTACTGAGCAGGAATCCTCCACCACCGTGTATCTGAAGCGGTTGTTGCCCTCCGCTTTGAGCTCCAGGTCGTTGGAGCCTTTGAGGATCACAGCTTTCTTGTAGTTGCCCGTCTTCTCGTCCTTGTAGCCCACGGAGTTCTTGCAGTGGTAGGTGATGCTCTGAGACGCCTCCTTGGAGAGCAGGCGGATGAAGGTCATCTGCACCGTGACAGAGTTTGCCGGCTGCTCTTTGTTGCCGTAGGTGAACTAGAGACACAAACGTTAACGCCCGTTAATGCTGAAGCGTTGCACTGGATGTGCTTTTCATTTTCAGGTGA